TACATATGCAGACCTTACTAAAAAATTACATCTTTTAACCTAAGCAATGACAGTTAAGAACAGGTCCTGTCAGTCAGCTGAGAATAAACATTCACACTGCAAAGGGAACTCATTACAACACTTAAAACATTTAAAAAAAAACCAAAACACTTAAAACATGCTAGGAGAGTAACAACTTACTTCTTGTGTGATTGGTGGCCTAAACTGTTTGTGTAGCTCAATAATTATCCTTAAACAAATAAGAACATTTTCTTCATTTTCCGTCTTTAAAAAAAAAAGAGGAGAAAGTTAACATTTCTTAGAACTTTCCCTAATCCAAAGATCAAAGACAATTATTTCCTAAGCATTTCCTGCATATTCACTCTCCCATCAACTAACTTCCACTTGACCTGCTGTAAGTTCATCAACCCACAGAACACTATGTGCCAGAAGGGAGGTCTTCATGGTGTCTGAGGTACCATCAACCTCTACCAGGGTAACATGTTCACAGATGGTTAACTGGTATTCATGGTAATACCATGAACTGAGGCCTTACTGGACCAACCAACACATTCCATAGCTTGAAACAGTCTAGAAAGAGCCAGTGTTTATCGAGCAAACACTGCATCCTGGACACAGTGCTGAGCACTTTATGAATACAGTCATGTACTGCATAATGTCTATTCAGGAGGTACTCCACATATGTACATCGATGGTCCCAACTCCTGAAAAAAAGTCTCTTAAAAATTCAAGATGTGGGGAGAGAAGTGCAGCAATGAATGAATGGAAATCCAAATTCTCTGTATATGTTCATTAAAATTATTTTTAAAAAATTTAAAAAAAAAGTCAAGATATTGGTGAGCTCTGGTGGCCTAGTGGCAAGAAGCTGCACTGCAATCCCAGAGGTGCGTGGTTCGAATCCCCCAGATGCTCTGCTGGAGCTAAAGGAACAATCTCCTGCACAAGTCAGACCTCATTTGACGGTATACACAAAAAAATAATTAAAAAAATTCAAGGTATCATGGTTTGTAATTACAAATGGGTGCTTTGTTGACACATATCAAAACATTATCATTATTATCTGTACTAGCATGTTACAGATGTTTTAGTGTAGCTCAAAGTTTCTTATGCAGAAAGGCACACTAAAAACTAAGACAAATATTTGGCTGATGTTAGCTATAAACCGTAAAGCGGGGTCACCTGTCTGTGTATGATGCTGGTACAGCATCCTCGTCAGATAATATTTTGAGGACATTGAGCAATGCACGACTGTCCTCTGAGGGGTGATGCCATCCACAGGCTGTTCACAGGAAGCTAAGATTCAGAGGAGTTAGGCAAGCTGGTTAACAGGATATGGCCAATGAAAATAGCCAGGATTTAAACCCACCTCCTTCATATATATCCTCATAGAAACACAATAGAAATCTAGATGACATTAAGAAGAGCAAGAAAACAATACTTGCAGAGATGAATTCTACAGGTACCAAACAGATTCACCCCAAGAATCTGAGGAGCTCTTTATGGCCATGTAGTATGTGCAAAAAGGGGCTCTACTGGTGGAGCCCATAGCAAGCTGTGCTGTTAATCAAAAGGCCCTGTGTCTCCCACAGTTCAAATCCACCAGCGGCTCCAAAGGAGAAAGATGGGCAGCCTCCGCCCGCCCGTTCCTTCCTTCCAGGAGACCCGATAGTGGGTCGCTGCGAGGCAGATTCACATGGGATGGCAGTGAGCTAAGGGTTGGGTTCTTTTTTAATAATGTGTAAAGTGAACAATGGTGGTTGGGGGGTAGAACTCTCCCCTCCCACGCAGGAGATCTGGCTTCGATTCCCAGCCAGTGGCCCTCAAGCACAGCCACCAGTCATCTGTCAGAGCAGAGGCCTGCATGTTGCACTGAGACTGAACAGGTGTCCACAGAGCTTCTGGACGAAGATAAAGCAGGAACAGAGGCCTGGCCATCTACTTCTGGAAATCAGGCTGTGGAAACCCTGTGGATCACCGCAGCCCAACCACTCAGTACCAGGGGGCCTGTGAGTTGGAGGCCAACAGCTGTTCACAACAGGACACGTAAAGCGCTGTGCTTGGTCCACATAAAAAGAGCACAATGGCAAGGAACATGCAGCCTGAATCTGTCCCCACCCCCTCTCCAAATAGCACTGCTGTGCTTTGTCCACTCCACGGGCCAGGGGCTGTGAACACAGCCTTCAGCTGAGTGCCCTCTGCTGGCCACCTGCTCCAGAGACTGCTGTACAGGGACATGAAGTCAGTGTGCACTCGTGGGAACCAGCATTTTGGTGAAAGGAAACCCATCGTGTTAACACTGGCCTCACAGCAAGAAAAACATCTCAAGTCCTCCGGCTCAAGGTCAAGGTTACCTCTAAAAAGCGAAACATCACTGACAGGACGTTCTTGGTGTGAGGACGGAGATGCTCATTGGTTGGTATTCTGTGGATTATCTCAAGCACTAGCTTCCGAAGTTGCTAGAGGGGGGAAAGGAAAAAAAATGACCAAAACTCCTAAAATACATCTTCATGCTCTACATTAATTCTTTCTCATTTCTACACTGTCTACCCCAGTGTTGGTAGACCATAAACTTCACGATGGGTCCCCTTTCCACGTAAATCATTTAAACACACTTTGAAGCATGGGACGGCAAGCTGTTACTTTTAGTATATCCACACTTGGTTATAATGAATCACTCAAGACAATTACTTTCTCCCTGTTCATAACTTAGTATTTCCAACACGACACCATGTATGAATATATGAAATGAACTTAAGATGGAAGAACAAAATGCAAAATTAACCAAGATCTCCCTCATAATCTGTGTCTTTTCCTTTGGCTTCCTCCAGTCACCTTGGGGCCAAGGACTGATTATGTCACAGGCTGTACTGAGCTTTCAGGATTTTGCCTGTGGAGCCAACAACTAAAAGGAAGGCCAAACAGATAAGATCTTGAAACAGCGCAATGAAGAAATGTGGTTTAGCAATAAACTGTTTCACTGGTAAGATGGCAATGTATTTTAAAAGTCATTTTTTTATAACTACACTCTGAGATATTTATAGGGAAAAGGTATGCCAAACTATTTTGAAACAGCCAAGGTGGGGCAAGGTGGGTGGTGATAGAAAGAAAAACAAACTGTCTGTGGATTTTAAGATGCAAAAATAGTTATATCAGACTCAGACAACAGGAGCCGAAAGTGGGGTCACCCAACTATCCTTCTTCTGTGTTTGAAGCTGTCCACAACACGGTGTCCACACACATCAGCAGTCATGAATAATTTAAAGGACAAAGGAGATGTGATAGATAAAACCAAGTCAGTTAATTGAAGAGGCTAAGGTCTTGAATAAAGTTATTTAGTAACACAAGCTCTTTCAGAAAACCTGCAGTAGAATCAGGATTTTTCCCGGTTATTTGTGAATACTTGCAACCCTACACAGCGACCTTTCCTCTCTCAGGCTCTGATCAGATTACCTGCGCCGGTTTCTCCTGAAGAAACTGCACTTCTCCATCCTGAAGAAAGGTGAGAAATCGAGGGATGATATGTTCCAGGAATGTTGAATACTGAGGTGAAGAGGTCACATTCTAATCATGCAAAAAAGGAAAAGAAAACCCCACTGGAATTATGTGCACTGATTTTTCTTCTTTCAAATTCACACTCAGGGCTATTGAGCTAATTTTTTCAGTTTTAACACTTTGAGGTATCTCAGCTTTATGACAATATCGTTTTAATAAATTGGGATGCTTGCTGCATTGGAAATTCAACTCCTGGGAAGTCAACGGAGCACGCACTGTAAACTTGTAATAAAGCCAAGAGGGAGGTGGATGCCATGTAGAATACAACCACTGGTCTTTCTCTGCTGGGAGTAAGCACGAGTGAAGACAATCAAAGGCCTTTTGGTCCGAAGGAATAAAAGACCACATGAACCTCAGCCTTTATGACCTTGAGATCTGAAGGACTAGATGGGGCCCAGCCACCACCAACCATTCTAACAGGGCTCACAATAGCAGGTTCTGAATAGAGTGTGTAAAAAATGTGGAATACAACTCAAAAACATAAAAATGGCCATGCTTAGGAAGCTCTGGTGGCCTAGTGGCAGGAAGCTGCACTGCAATCCCAGAGGTGCACGGTTCAAATCCACCAGATGCTATGCTAGAGAAGGAGGAGCAATCTCCTCTTGTACCAGTCAGATCCGATTTGATGGTACACACACACACATACACACACACGAGATAATAAAATAAAATTAAATTAAAAATGGCCACGCTTACAAGTCTGGTACACTGGTGGAACCCGCGAGACTCTGACCCTTAGTCACTCTTCAAACCTGGACCTAAAATCACCCCTGTGACCCAACATTCAGACAAACAACAAACATCTTATGTCATCTTACAGACATAAGATGTACAGTAATACCGCGGAAGAACACACTTCTTAGAATAATCAGCTATATAAGGCTGTAAGGCCAGCATGAATCCAGACATGAATATCAGAAAGCAAGAAGCGATTCGACAGAAGGAATAACAGAAATGGGAATCGCAAGGAGGAAGTGGGAGGGGAGCACCTACATTTTTAAAATGAAAAAGTGAAACAACCAAAACAAAACCAACATCCCTCCACATGGTCTGAAATTTACCACCTCTAATGTGACAGACTTAGGACAGTATTACCTGCAAATGTCTAAATTTCAACTGAGAGAAGTAGTAAATGACGTTGCCATAAAGAAAACCGACAGAGGAGCAACGGGAAAACACCTATGAACATTAAATTTACCTGCCAATGGAAAGTAGAAAACATCAAAAGTTCATACCTCAAAATTTTCACTAACTTCTTGCATCATTTTTAGCTTTGTTTCATCAGCTGTAAAAGGTAAGACACACCATTAGGCCACTGAAGTAGTGCTTTGGATGGTTCGAAAAGTTTAAAAATTGAAGGTGAAGCAATCAGATCTTATCAGTTTGACTGTCATCGTCCAGTAGAAGGCACATAACTAGGTCCCTACTGCCAGTCACACACAAGCACACCACTGGATCCAGGCACACAGGGTCACACGTACACACACACACACACACACACACACACACACACACGTGCCTCCATGGGGCTCCAGCCAGCGATGCTCATCATTTTGCTTCAACACAAGAGAAAGGAAATTGGGGGGAAATTGTCATAATATAACTTATTATGCCCCTCCCTCAACTAGCTCAAGAAAAATTAGTCCCATTAATACTTGCTTAGTAACCAAAACCAAAAAAGGTTTTCCACTCACGTGTATTCACATCAGTGAGAGCTGCCACAAACTGAAGGTATTTTTTCATCAGAGTGGTCTGGTCCACCACCGTGGCCCCCTGCGTTGCAACAAACGCCATTTTTCTTGTGGGCGAGTTTGCGGTTTCTTGAGAAAATGGGATCAGGCCATGAGTTCATGCAGGCTGAGGAGAGAAGTACTTGGTTAGCCAATTCACTGAGGGCACAAGCCCCCCAAAACTATCACACTCTTACCACAACCTGCATTCGCCTAAATATTCCTTCCTTAATCCAGAACACAACACTCTTCCATCTGCTTTGAAGATAAAATCTGCCCCAATTAATTTTGTCCCTTAGTTTCTAAAAAAGTCTTTTAAAAACAGGAGTTACACATTCTTCTTTTTCCCTATTTCCTTCTGGCCCTTAAACCAAGACTCAGTAAACTTTTCCTCTAAAAGCCAGGCAGGCTGTAAATATTTTAGGCTTTGCAAGCATGCAGTCTCTGGGAATTCCTTTGAAGGGAGGATTGCAAAACCGTGTCTTAAGTACTGTGAACACGTTATCAGCAAGGCCAATCCCTGGAGAAGGACACTCTGCTTGGGAAAGCTGAGGGTCAGAGAAAAAGAGGATGCTTGATAAGCCGGGTTGGCTGCAACAATGGCTCAAAAACAGAGTAAGTGTGAAGATGGTGCAGGACCGGGCAGCGCTTCCTGGTTTTAGGAGGGTCTCTCTGAGCTGGAATCACCCAGCTGTGGAAGTTCTTCCGCAACCTGACTGGATCCTCAAAGGCTCTGTGAATTTTACGTAACTTTTGAATTATTCAATATTCTCCATTTGACTCTTTCCCCCCATCCATTTAAAAATGTCAAAATTCTTAAGTTCATACAGAAACAGGCAGCCGGCTGGAAGTGACGCATCCATCAGTTTGCCGAGCCTTGTTTTAAGACAACTGATCCTCAAATTCCAGCAGGCAGGAAAGGACCAGGTGCAGGAAAGTGAACTTGCAACCCAGAAAGGCTGTGGTTCATTTACAAGGAATCCCCACCGCTGTGAATTCCAACAGAACGAGTCTGCCCGACACAGCCAAACTGCCCCATCCGGTTTCAAGGCTGTAAATCTTTTAGGAAGCAGAATGCCATAATGTCCTCTTTTGGAGCTGCTAATGGATTTGAACTACCAACTCTGAGTCAGCCTTCCCTGTCTGAGCCTTTGTGATTCCGCAAAGAGACCAGAAAGCTGTCAAATCTGTTGGCACCTGGCACAAAGCATTGTTTTGTGTTGCCAAGGAGTCAGGTCCCACTTGTAGTGACCCCATATGACAGAGGAGAACTGCCCCCAGAAGGTTTTCTTGGCTGCAATTTTTACACATCTTTCTCCTTCAAAGTAGCTGGGTGGGCTGGACCTACCCACCTTTTGGATAGCAGTCTAGCACTTAACCAGGAGTCATAGCTGCCAAATCTAATGGCGCCAAGTCAATTCCAACTCAGAGACCCTGAAGGACAGAGCAGAACTGTCCCCCAGAGTCCCCAAGGCTGCAATCCTTCTGGAAGCAGACTGCCTCACCCTTCTCAAGGAGAACAGCTAGTGAATTTGGCACCTTTAATCACTTTGACTACTGCTGCAACCAGGTGCACAGCGAGCTTTCAGAAAACCTTCCTTGATGCAATGAGTCAAGATGTGAAAAAGCACCTCGGACAGTGGGAAATAGCTTTAGTTGCTGGCCCAAAGGTGTGTGTGTGGCTGGAACCTACTAGCCTGCTCTGTAGGAGAAAAAGACCCACCCATCTGCTCTCATAACGATTATGGCCTAGGAAACGCTGGGACAGCTCTGCTCTGCCCAGGAGGGTCACTGTGAGTCAGAAGCAACTCCAGACAGTGGGTTTGGATGTTTGTTTGGCTTGTCCTTGCATAGACTACGGCCTAACCTCCCTGGAAGAACCCTGGTAGTGCTGCAAACTACGGCTGCTCACTTCAAGGTCTGTGGCTTGAATTCACCGGCCACTCTCATTACTCTTAAAAACTTTACTGCTGTCAAGTCAGAACCCACTCACAACTCAACCTCCAGCGGGTTTTTAGGGGCTGTTAAGTCACATGGAGGAGACTCTCCTTATCTTTCTTCTGAGAAGCTGCTAGTGGATTCAAACCTGTCTACGGAAAAACGAGGATGTCTGTTTGCAGGAAGATCCCAGCCCTGTAAAGCTATGGGGCAGCTGGCTCGGTCGCGGCAGTGGGTGGGGTTTGGGTAACTTCACTCTGCATTCAACCATGTTCTTGTCCTTTTTCCAAAGCAGTTCCATTAGCTCCTCTGCAGGCCTTCCAAATTCCTGCCTGGAGGACCCTGCGGCTCACATTTCTTCCCCAGATGATGAGGAAGGACCCCTGACAGCAGAAAGCACGTCCCAAGGCAGATGGGGCAAACCAGCCAGGCCCAGAACAGCCCCTCCCAAGACCACTTGTCCGGCTCAGGGCAAGGAGAGTCACTAAGGCGCAGGCTCTGCAGAGTGCCTGGAACACTAGAGATCTCCTCCCAACATCAAAGACCACCGCCTGCACTCCAGACCTTCTGGCTAGGTGCACGTCTTAGTAAAAGCCAGACCCCTTTCTGGAGGTGATCGGAAGCATTAACTCTTCCGTTCCTGGCCCTGGAGGCGAGGCTGGGAACAGGGGCCACGCCCATGCTGCCCGATTCCCGGAATGCAGCTCTCTGGCCCAGAGCTGGAAGGGCCGGAGGGCAGCTCGGAGGCGGTGAGCAGCTCGCGAACGGCCCTCCGCCGCCCCCCGCACCGCCAGGCTGAGGTGTCGCCGCCGGGCCACAGGGGGCGCTGTCGCCGCCGCTACCTTCGTCGTCGATGCCCGGCCCGGCGAGCCAGGTGCCTGCGTGGAGGCCCGCGGGTGCCAGGCCGGCCAGGAGGCGCCTCTCGGGGTGACGGGGGTCCCTACCCCTCCGATCCCAAACGGCCCTCCGTTTCCCTGGCCTCCTTTTGTCGTCGTCCCGGGTACTCAGCGACCGCCCACCAAGCCGCGGTACGGCGCGCGTCGAGGGCCAATTCCGGTTCGCGCTCGCCTTCGCCGGCGGCGTCCCCCTGGCCCGTCCCTGCAGCCCACGAACGACGGCCGCTGGGCCCGCCACCTTCACCCCGCCATCCCGTGCCCGGATTCTAGGGGGACCCCGGGGGGCCGGGGCCTTCATCTGCTCCTCCGCGGCAGCCCCGATCGCTCCGCCGCCCTCGCTCACCTGGACCTCGGCACTCGCTCAGGCCTGCAGCCCCGGCCCGGGGTTCTGGGTCCCCCGTGCCGACCCG